TACAGGACATCCATATGAATTACTCTGCATAACATTATACAGGACATCCGTGTAAATTACTCTGCATAACATTATACAGGACATCCATATGAATTACTCTGCATAACATTATTTAGGACATCCATGTGAATTACTCTGCACAACATTATACAGGACATCCATGTGAATTACTCTGCACAACATTATACAGGACATCCATGTGAATTATTCTCCACAACATTATACAAGACATCCATGTGAATTACTCTGCCCAACATTATACAAGACATCCATGTAAATCACTCTGCACAACATTATACAGGACATCCATGTGAATTAATATGCACACCATTATACAGGACATCCATGTGAATTACTCTGCACACCATTATACAAGACATCCATATGAATTACTCTGCACAACATTATACAGGACATCCTTGTGAATTAATATGCACACCATTATACAAGACATCCATATGAATTACTCTGCACAACATTATACAGGACATCCTTGTGAATTACTCTGCACAACATTATACAAGACATCCATGTGAAATACTCTGCAGAACATTATATAGGACATCCATGTGAATTTCTCTGCACAACATTATACAGGACATCCATGTGAATTACTCTGCACACCATTAAACAAGACATCCATGTGAATTACTCTGCACAACATTATACAAGACATCCATGTGAATTACTCTGCCCAACATTATACAGGACATCCATGTGAATTAATCTGCACAACATTATACAAGACATCCACATGAACTACTCTGCACAACATTATACAGGACATCCATGTGAATTACTCTGCACAACATTATACAGGACATCCATGTGAATTACTCTGCACACCTTTATACAAGACTTCCATGTGAATTACTCTGCATAACATTATACAAGACATCCATGTGAATTACTCTGCACAACATTATACAAGACATCCATGTGAATTACTCTGCACAACATTTTACAGGACATCCATGTGAATTACTCTGCACACCATTATACAAGAAATCCATGTGAATTACTCTGCACAACATTATACAGGACATCCATGTGAATTACTCTGCACAACATTATACAGGACATCCATGTGAATTACTCTGCACAACATTATACAGGACATCCATGTGAATTACTCTGCACAACATTATACAAGACATCCATGTGAATTAATATGCACAACATTACACAGGACATCCATGTAAATTACTCTGCACACCTTTATACAAGACATCCATGTGAATTACTCTGCACACCATTATACAAGACATCCATGTGAATTACTCTGCACACCATTATACAAGACACCCATGTGAATTACTCTGCACACCATTATACAAGACATCCATGTGAATTTCTCTGCACAACATTATACAGGACATCCATGTGAATTACTCTGTACAACATTATACAGGACATCCATGTGAATTAATATGCACAACATTACACAAGACATCCATGTGAATTACTCTGCACACCTTTAGACAAGACATCCATGTGAATTACTCTGCACACCATTATACAAGACATCCATGTGAATTACTCTGCACACCATTATACAAGACATCCATGTGAATTTCTCTGCACAACATTATACAAAACATCCATGTGAATTAATATGCACAACATTACACAGGACATCCATGTGAATTACTCTGCACACCTTTATACAAGACATCCATGTGAATTACTCTGCACACCATTATACAAGACATCCATGTGAATTACTCTGCACACCATTATACAAGACATCCATGTGAATTTCTCTGCACAACATTATACAGGACATCCATGTGAATTACTCTGCACAACATTATACAGGACATCCATATGAATTAATATGCACAACATTATACAGGACATCCATGTGAATTACTCTGCACACCTTTATACAAGACATCCATGTGAATTACTCTGCACACCATTATGCAAGACATCCATGTGAATTACTCTGCACACCATTATACAGGACATCCATGTGAATTACTCTCCATAACATTATACAAGACATCCATTTGAACTACTCTGCACACCATTATACAAGACATCCTTGTGAATTACTCTGCACAACATTATACAAGACATCCATGTAAATCACTCTGCACAACATTATACAGGACATCCATGTGAATTTCTCTGCACAACATTATACAGGACATCCATGTGAATTAATATGCATAACATTACACAGGACATCCATGTGAATTACTCTGCACAACATTATAGAAGAAATCCATGTGAATTACTCTGCACAACATTATACAGGACATCCATGTGAATTACTCTGCACAACATTATACAGGACATCCATGTGAATTACTCTGCACAACATTATACAGGACATCCATGTGAATTTCTCTGCACAACATTATACATGACATCCATGTGAATTAATATGCACAACATTACACAGGACATCCATGTGAATTACTCTGCACACCATTATACAAGACATCCATGTGAATTACTCTGCACACCATTATACAAGACATCCATGTGAATTACTCTGCACAACATTATACAAGACATCCTTGTGAATTACTCTGCACAACATTATACAAGACTTCCATGTAAATCACTCTGCACAACATTATACAAGACATCCATGTGAATTACTCTGCACAACATTATACAGGACATCCATGTGAATACTCTGCACAACATTATACAGGACATCCATGTGAATTACTCTGCACACCATTATACAAGACATCCATGTGAATTACTCTGCACAACATTATACAGGACATCCATGTGAATTACTCTGCACAACATTATACAGGACATCCATGTGAATTACTCTGCACAACATTATACAGGATATCCATGTGAATTAATATGCACACCATTATACAGGACATCCATGTGAATTACTCTGCACACCATTATACAAGACATCCATATGAATTACTCTGCACAACATTATACAGGACATCCATGTAAATTAATATGCACAACATTATACAAGACATCCATGTGAATTACTCTGCACACCATTATACAAGACATCCATATGAATTACTCTGCACAACATTATACAGGACATCCATGTGAATAAATATGCACAACATTATACAAGACATCCATGTGAATTACTCTGCACAACATTATACAGGACATCCATGTGAATTTCTCTGCACAACATTATACAGGACATCCATGTGAATTACTCTGCACACCTTTATACAAGACATCCATGTGAATTACTCTGCACACCATTATACAAGACATCCATGTGAAATACTCTGCACAACATTATACAAGACATCCATTTAAATCACTCTGCACACCATTATATAGGACATCCATGTGAATTACTCTGCACACCATTATACAGGACATCAATGTGAATTAATATGCACAACATTATACAAGACATCCATATGAATTACTCTGCACAACATTATACAGGACATCCATGTGAATTACTCTGCACAACATTATACAGGACATCCATGTGAATTACTCTGCACAACATTATACAGGACATCCATGTGAATTACTCTGCACACCATTATACAAGACATCCATGTGAATTACTCTGCACAACATTATACAGGACATCCATGTGAATTTCTCTGCACAACATTATACAAGACATCCATGTGAATTACTCTGCACAACATTATACAGGACATCCATGTGAATTTCTCTGCACAACATTATACAGGACATCCATGTGAATAAATATGCACAACATTACACAGGACATCCATGTGAATTACTCTGCACACCTTTATACAAGACATCGATGTTAATTACTCTGCACAACATTATAAAGGACATCCATGTGAATTACTCTTCAGAACATTATACAGGACATCCATGTGAATTACTCTGCACAGCATTGTACAGGACATCCATGTGAATTACTCTGCACAACATTATACATGACATCCATGTGAATTACTCTTCACAACATTATACAGGACATCCATATGAATTACTCTGCACAACATTATACAAGACATTAAAATGAATATCTCTGCACAACATTATACAAGACATCGATATTACTCTGCAGAATATTATACAGAACATCGATATGAATTATTCTGCACAACATGCCACTAATTGTTTTCAAGATTCTATTCAAAAAGCACACAACCAGGAAGCTGTTTTTTGCATGCATGTTGTTTTCAAGATATAGTAGAAAAACGTCCGAGCAGAGTTGCTTGCGGCGGGGCATGGTTAAACTCAAACAGGCCTTCATTGATCGCAGGGTACTGCAAACTCAGTTGTCGTTGAAATAAATTCGTACTATGCCGCCACTTGTTGACTGACTCACGGGTTTTGCGACAACTCACAAATTTGTTGGCAGGGTATTTTATTAAGGGCGCGTTTTTTTCTGTACAACGAGAATGCCGCAGCGAGGTGTTTACATCTTTTGTGTATTTAACGGGGAATGAAACATAATCCAGAGCCTTGAAATGTCCCTTCAATCCCCTCGACTAGTAGAGTCTCTTCAAGGACAAGCACCTACATAATGGAGTGTTTGTCGACATGGGTAATGCATGACGGATGATGTCTCGAGGCGAGTTACAGGATTTGTGGGAATAACTATAATTCATAATTTATCGTTTAGTCAATCTGACCACTTGTGACTGAGGCGTTTGTTTATTCTCCACGCACCTGGACGATGTCATCTGTATGTTACGGAAGTGTTGGTTTCTCAAGCTACGAACGTCAACGCGTTGGGGGTGAGAAGAGGTGTTCAAGCATGCTTGTCGTACAAGGCGACGATGCTTGTCGTAACTAACGGGATCGGATGGTCAGGCTCGTTGACTTGATTGTTGCATGTCATCGTATCCCAATTACATGGATCGATGCTGATGCTGAAACCACTGGATTGCCTGGTCCAAACTCGATTATTTACAGACCGCCGTCATATAGCTGGAATATTTCTGAATGCGGCGTTAAACAACAAACAAACAAACATATTGGTCCTCGAGGCTTGTTGCGGGTTAATGTGTCTCGATATCAATTACCACGTGCTGTTGCAGCTGAACTGAAGGAGGAACTGGACAAATACATCAAGACTCACCTGGAGAAGCGAGGCGTCAAGCTGATCCGCCTTCCCCAGAGAGTCGGTCTGATCAAGGCGCGGCTGGAAGGATTCAAGTACGTCACGGGGGAGGTTGTATCCTTCTTCGACAGCCACATGGAGGTGAACGTCGACTGGTACGACACTCTCAGTAACCCTTTTAAAACATTCACTCACTTATAGACTGCGCAACACTGACTCCACACTGCTGTCGTGATTTAGCTGTTATATAGCCGACTGCGATCTGTTGGAGCCATGACTTCCATGTTAAGATGTGAGGTATATATGTCACGGCTCAAGTGAACCAGCCACACGTGTCTCTACGCACGTGCTGTTTCCCAACTGCTTCTTATTGACAAATTTAAAGCTGTCTTAAAACCCAAATTACTCACTCTTACTACTGAACCAGTGAAGACCCGGTTAGAAAAGGTCTTCAGCAACCCATTTTGCTATGCTTGTCGTAAGAGGCGACTAACGGGATCGGGTGGTCAGGCTTGCTGACTTGGTTAATGCATGTCATCGTAACCCAGTTTCCTGGATCGATGCTGATGCTGAAACCACTGGATTGTCTGGTCCAGGCTCGATTATTTACAGACCGCCGTCATACAGCTGGTACATTGCTGATAGCGGTGTTATACAACACACAAGCACTCGTACTAACCAAGGTGTGATGACTTCTTCCTCCACAGGCTCCAGCCTCTCCTGGTGGAGATCAAGAGGAATCGGTCCACGGTCGCTATGGGGCACCTCGACTACATCAAGGCAGATACCCTACAGTACGACTTCGAGCCCGGCTACAAGACGAGATACGGCTTCGACTGGCGACTCGTCTTCTTTGAAACCTACTTCCGCAAGAACCAGCAGGAGCCCAAGTCAGAGACAGAATCTCTACCGTGGGTTCTGCAGACATATACACTGAACCGCAAAAGAAACGTCACCATGGACAGATATATGAGAAACCTTATTTGTCCAAACACCGTAAACATACTTTGAGACATATTAAAAAGATAAAACTTGGCAAAACTGATCATCAAGATTGTAATGAAAGTGTCAAATGTTCTTAAAGTGAAACACAACACTAGTCTCTGAGAAAATGGCATCACAAGTCAGTATCTTGTGTGTCCGCCATGTGCATTGATGACTGCCGTGCAACGTCGACACACGGAATGGATGAGGCGGTTGATGAAAGCCATAGGCCCTTGAGCCCATACTCCGAGGAACGCCTGACGCAGTTCAGCTGCAGTTGTCGGCCTTGGTCGGACGTCATTGAGTCGTCTTTGAATCTCCTACCACAGGTGCTCAATGGGATTTAAAATCGGGACTGAGGGCAGGCCATTCTGCTGGAGGAAGTCTCTTGTTGCTCTCGCAGTGTGGGCACGGGCGTTATCATGCCGAATCTCGTGGTTGCGGCAACGTGCCAAATGAGGTATGGCGTGTGGTCTCAAGACTTGATCAATGTACCGAGCTGCTGTGACAGCATTGCCTCTCACTGGACCGATGTTCTGGAAGACCACAGGGCCGACCCTCTGTACAAGACCAATTCCACCCCATACCATGGTACACGGACCACCCCACGAGTCTCTCTCAACAAAACAAGCATCCGAGTAACGTTCCCCACGGCGTCGCAAGACTCTCTGCCATCTGTTGTTGAGATACAGTAACGGCTCTCCTCTGAGAAAGGGACTCTTTTCCACTGCTGGTGGCGCCAATGTTGGCCCTGTGTTGCCGACTGAAGTCGGTCCCGGCGATGACGTGGTGTTAGAATGGGTCCTCGGTGTGGCCTGAGACAGTGGAGGTGTCTGCTCGTCAATCGTCGACGCACGGTGTCCGCACTAATGTGTCGCTGGTGTGTCCCCATGGTCTGTCGAGCAGTTTCCGCAGCGGTAACAAAGCGATCTTGAAGATGCTTTAGCACAATCTGACGATCCTGACGTCGGGTAGTGACCCCTGGTCCTCCACTACTTGGTCGGTCCTCTGTAGTGTTGGTGGTCTGGTACCGTTCCTGGAGCATTGGCTACTTGCCGGGCGGTTTGTCCAGCTTGCAATCATCCAAGGACTTGGCGTCGCTGAATTTTGTCAATCTTGGCATGTGGTAGCAATTCAATAACGAATGAATGTTATCCGATCTGGGTGGACTTTTATAGTGCAAGAAATGGGGGAACGCATGTGCATTTCAATTTGCACGGAACTCACGTGCATCGGGTTACCATGGTCGTTGCCGTGATGCATTTGGGCGATTGTCATCTGCTTTGTTTTTTATCATCAAATTTCATTTTTCCGGACAAGGTAATGTTAAATTTTAGAAACTTTGACAAAAATGACCCAGATATTAAAATGACAACTTTTCATGCAATGTTACTTGGGTGACCTTTCTTTTGCGGTTCAGTATATATATACGCTCAACTTGTTCCTTTGCGAACACTGGGGAAGGATGGGGCGGTGGTCTCTGACATCGCAGTTCTCTGTGAAGGGTTACGTACCTTTGCCGCACCAGGATGCGCTGGTTGTAGATTTGATTAATGACTGAACCACATGGTCTGTCAGCACTGCTTGTGAGTTTCACCGAAGTGGTAAATGTCTGCGACCTGTGTCACCTTTGCACACAAAGATCACATGCCATTGCTGCAGTATCAATAGGATCGAGTTTGATCTCATTTGGAAAAATAAACAATGGCAATAACTGAAAAATGAAGGATAGATGCATTGTAGCGCAGGGGGACATATATGTATTAACCAAGCACATTACCTTAATATGCCCTTCCTTGATTTGCGCTTTGTGTGCTGCAGAGGTGTCGTGATGGTGGGGCCGGCGTTTGCTGTCGATGCCGACTACTTCCGTGAGATCGGAACATACGACAGCGGCATGGAAATCTGGGGCGGAGAGAACATCGAACTGGCATGGAGGGTGAGTGAGCCAGGATGCAGCAATTGGACGGACTGAACTGTCTATGAGGGTGAGAGAGGCAGGATATGGCAGTTGGACGGATTGAACTGTCTTTGAGGGTGAGAGAGGCAGAATAGGGCAATTGGACGGACTGAACTGTCTTTGAGGGTGAGAGAGGCAGGATATGGCAGTTGGACGGACTGAACTGTCTTTGAGGGTGAGAGAGGCAGGATAGGGCAGTTGGACGGACTGAACTGTCTTTGAGGGTGAGAGAGGCAGGATAGGGCAGTTGGACGGACTGAACTGTCTTTGAGGGTGAGAGAGGCAGGATAGGGCAGTTGGACGGACTGAACTGTCTTTGAGGGTGAGAGAGGCAGGATATGGCAATTGGACGGACTGAACTGTCTTTGAGGGTGAGAGAGGCAGGATATGGCAGTTGGACGGACTGAACTGTCTTTGAGGGTGAGAGAGGCAGGATAGGGCAGTTGGACGGACTGAACTGTCTTTGAGGGTGAGAGAGGCAGGATATGGCAATTGGACGGACTGAACTGTCTTTGGGGTGAGAGAGAGGCAGGATAGGGCAATTGGACGGACTGAACTGTCTTTGAGGGTGAGAGAGGCAGGATAGGGCAATTGGACGGACTGAACTGTCTTTGAGGGGGAGTGAGGCAGGATTAGTGAATTAGACGGTGTAGAACTGATCTGGTGGGTAAGTTGGTCAAGGCTCGGCTTTGGATTCTGTTTTGAGGAACGAAATGGGATATCTGTTGGGAGTAGAGAGTATGTTACATTTCTGAGATGTAAGGGATCCTACTAAGATGTTATAAGGGTTCTACTGAGATGTAAAGGGTCCTTCTAAGATGTAAGGGATGTACTAAGATGTAAGGGTTCTACAAATGTGTAAAAGGTTCTACTAAGATGTAAGGGGTTCTACTAAGATGTAAGGGTCCTACTAAGATGTAAGGGTCCTACTAAGATGTAAGGGTCCTACTTAGATGTAAGGGTCCTACTGAGATGGAAAGATTCTACTTAGATGTAAGGGTCCTACTAAGATGTACATATTCTTCTAAGATGTAAGGGTCATACCAATATATAAGGGGTCCTACTAGGATGTAAGGGGTTCTACTAGGATGTAAGGGGTTCTACTAGGATGTAAGGGTCCTACTAAGATTTAAGGGTCCTACTAAGATGGAAGGGTCCTAATAAGATGGAAGGGTTCTACTAACATGTTAGGATTGTACTAAGATGTAAGGGTTCTTCTAAGATGCATTTATCTACGTTGTATTGAGGATAGGGGCACACTGAGGTGATAGAGGGGCACACTGAGGTGATGGAAGTCTACGTTCAGATAATCTGAGCCTGATACCAGGAGTCCATGATTGTCCACACAGACACACCTGTTCATGCCCCTCCCTCTCTCACAGGTATGGCTTTGTGGGGGGCAGCTGCTTCACAGTCCCTGTTCCAAGATCGGCCACATCGCCCGCTCCCAGCCCTACTCCTTCCCTGCAGGGCGCTACCAGACGGAGATGCACAACTACAAGCGGGCAGTGGAGGTGTGGATGGGCGACTACAAGAAATACGTGTACGAATACTTCCCCGCCATGAAGGTAAGGAATGGTTTAGGAGACCAGAGCATTGTAGTAATGCATTGCATATTCCTCTTGCCGCTCACGCACAATGTTTATTTTTTATTTTTGACAAAAGAACATGGGCGACGAAATATTTGGCATGAGTGTATCCCGTCTTAGGTATACTTTACACCTGAAAATAACTGTTTGAAGAAAACTTCTTAAAAATGTTGGTTAATACTATTGTCTGCTGAGATTCTAAAAATGTGTTGTTTTGGTAGTCTTCCTGCAACCCCAACTATACATGAATGTGCTTTGTTGACAGAACCTTGACGCCGGGGATTTGAGCGAGCGCGTTAAACTACGACAGAGGCTCAAGTGTCGAGATTTTGGATGGTTCCTCGACAACGTATGGCCGGAGCTGTTTGCTTACGGGGAGGACGTTTTCGCCTGGGGAGGGGTGAGTAGTTGTTGGGGGTGATTGGGGTCGGGGGGTCGGGACTGATGATTGGGGTCGGAAGATTGGGACTGGTGACTGGGGTCGACCCTGGTGATGGGGGTCGGGGGTTCGGGCCTGGTGATGAGGGTCGGGGGATCGGGCCTGGTGATGAGGGTCGGGGGATCGGGGCTGGGGCTGGGGCTGGGGCTGGGGTTCGGGGTTTCGGGCCTGGTGATGAGGGTCGGGGGTTCGGGCCTGGTGATGAGGGTCGGCTAGTCGGGACTGGTGATGGGGGTCGGGGGGTCGGGCCTGGTGATGGGGGTCGGGGGATCGGGCCTGGTGATGGGGGTCGGGGGATCGGGCCTGGTGATGAGGGTCGGGGGTTCGGGCCTGGTGATGGGGGTCGGGGGTTCGGGCCTGGTGATGGGGGTCGGCGAGATCGGGACTGGTGATGGGGGTCGGGGGTTCGGGCCTGGTGATGGGGGTCGGGGGATCGGGCCTGGTGATGGGGGTCGGGGGATCGGGCCTGGTGATGAGGGTCGGGGGTTCGGGCCTGGTGATGGGGGTCGGGGGTTCGGGCCTGGTGATGGGGGTCGGGGGATCGGGCCTGGTGATGGGGGTCGGGGGTTCGGGCCTGGTGATGGGGGTCGGGGGATCGGGCCTGGTGATGGGGGTCGGGGGTTCGGGCCTGGTGATGGGGGTCGGGGGTTCGGGCCTGGTGATGGGGGTCGGCTAGTCGGGACTGGTGATTGGGGTCGGGGGATCGGGCCTGGTGATGGGGGTCGGGGGATCGGGCCTGGTGATGGGGGTCGGGGGTTCGGGCCTGGTGATGGGGGTCGGCGAGATCGGGACTGGTGATGGGGGTCGGCGAGATCGGGACTGGTGATGGGGGTCGGACCTGGTGATGGGGGTCGGGCCTGGTGATGAGGGTCGAGAGATCGGGACTTGTGATTGGGGTCGGGACTGGTGATTGGGGTCGGGCCTGGTGATGGGGGTCGGGCCTGGTGATGGGGGTCGGGGGGTCGGGCCTGGGGATTGGGGTCGGGGATTGGGGACTGGTGATAGGGGCCATGGGATCGGGCCTGGTGATAGGGTTCGGTGAGGTCAGTGTAGACGCTGTGGGTGAGGCAGGCTTGGGCGTTGATATATGGGGGTCATGCTTAAACGTATGGAGAAATATCATATCATATTTGTGTATTATCTGTGGGATTTATACATGTGTGACACAAACTACGCGATAGGCAACTTATCTCAATACCAGCTGAAGCTGTCAACTCCGGCCAGACCCTGATCTACTTGTTTGACCCGTCAGATACAGTCGAATCTGATTTAAACGGAGACCCCGCTGAAGACAGCTAGACGGTGTGTCAAACCTATTTTTAATATATGTCATCTGTGAGTTCTTTTGGAGCAACGCTAATGAATCGGTTTATTGTACAGATCGAGAACCCCGACCTGAGGATGTGCCTGGACAATGACGAGTACTTGTTCCAAGCGCCCAACCCGCTCACCATCAAGCCCTGTACACACAGCCTCCCGGCGCAGGTGAGTCAAGGCATTAATGGGCGTGTCCCGGAAGTGTACTTGTTGTCCCATCTGACAGATGACGGGAGATGCGCGATCTTTGTTAAGCCTTAAAATCGGATTGTAATGAGATTGGTCGCGTCATTGTTGTATGGTGGCATTAAGGCATACAGCCATAGTGATGCTCACTCAACCACGTGTGACTATCCGTTCCTGTTGAGTAAGACTGTCGGTCACATCACAACCCTCCATACTTGGTTCGTGTCTCGCAACGTAATGTGAAAAAGGAAGCATTAGGGCACTCAGAGTAGTCTCCCTTGATAACAAAGCGATCCCGACAGCCTGCTGCATTGGCGTGGAAACAGGTGTACTTTTGCACTTTGGTTGTTGATTAGTGTTTTTTTTATAGCTGGTGTATACAGTGTCATTCAGGCTTGTTGATACAGGTGTATTTGAGACGAGGAGCGTTGTATTGCAACACTTAATCAATTAAACTTGGCACGATTGCAATGTGAGTAGACACTGACTTGTTTGTGTTGTTATTGTCACACAGACCAGTCGAGATATTCCACAACAACTTTTGCCTTAATTGGGAACAAATATGCGTGCCACGAAGTGCTTCCTCGCGCCGGCAAATGTATCTTTGCAGCTAATGTTGTTGGGCGTGTTGGCTGTTCAGGTTTGTCGACACGAGAGCACTTATTTAGCTGATTTCAAATTAGGAAAATAACTGTCATCGCAAAGAACGTTACCACATCGCTTGTTACTCAGTATGTGATAAAATGCAAACGTCTCGCAAGTGCAATAAAGTATTTCAAGCGGACGAAACAACATTGGGCCACCGAGGTTATACGCCACGTCTTATGTGAAATCGGGAGTGTCGCGAGTTTCCACGAGACGTGCTACATGACAGGTTGAAAGAGTTGTGAAAGTCTAATCAACGATTAAGACACCATGGTCCGTGTGATCGAACCTTTTTAAACCATGTCCAACATTTATAGCACCTAAAATGCTTAAAAAAAAACATTGTTTAGTTAAAGTTTTTTTTCTAAATGTGTGAGTCGACATTCGTGATTCGCGTGCAGTGTGTACCCCCAGCCTTCCGCACGTGCACCTCGCGTTTTGCCGACTCGTTTATGAAATGCATGACCCGGGCAAGTATACTTTTCATTTTCGTCAAACGCGAGCTCATTTAACAATCACCTCAACTACTTGCCCATGTTGATGGGCCTATTATTATCCGCAAACATAGCCCTAATCAAGATAATAGACAATATTTTGAGTCAATTCAGTCGATCAGTTTTTTGTTTACCGAGGCCATATGACCCATATTACATACGTGTATCTCATGCAGTTATATAACATTGCACATGCATCATGCTACTTGATAACATTACATTTCCGCTCTAATTTTAAATATCAGATAATAATTTTCTCTTCTATCTGTTCGTTTCGTTGACAGAAAAGCTACCAAACAACAAGTACATACAAATACTACAATGCATAGAGTGACATTCTGTATAATTCTGCATAAAACCCATACAAGGTTTGCATAAAAGTTCACAGTTCATAAACGGGTAAACAATTTGTTCTGATGTATGTAAAGTTACTTAGCCTTCCTTGCGGACTTCGCGGGTTCGAATCCCGCTTGCGACACACGTTTCACATAAAATTGTTCTATCATCAAGGTAAATAATAGGGGGGAAAATTTCCGTCATTGCCAAGTGGTGTTTAACTAACAATTTATTTTGTTAGAGCAAAGACAATGGAGACATGGTTTAACTATTTGCATCTTCCTGAGGCAAGGGAGTTAGCTGACTATAAAAGTCCAGTTTCCACCCTTGCCGAACTAGGCTGGAATATTGAGTTGGCTGGACTAACGAGTCTATGCATAGTCCAATCAAAATCGGCATCCGGTTCATTGCAGGATTTGCAAAGCATGTGTACCGACAACTTAGCGTCAACTGATATTTTCCAGATGTTTCCATGTTTTTTAATCAAGGTGCTTACATGATTTGATGCACTTCGCAAAGTAAGACCCGCTTTATAACAAATTGAATATAGATCTTGAGAGATCTCGATCAGATCGTCTTAACTGTGCGATGCCATTTTATTTGAGTCAAATGCAAGTGATATGAGAGGTGGAATCTGATTGGTCAATGGGAGGGACTTGTAAGGGACATAACTCGTAATGGTCACTGGTGGCGCTTCAATCGAGCCCAGAAATTCCAGCCTAGTTCGGCAATGGTGGCAACTGGACTTTTGGAGTTCGTTAACTCCCTTGTCTCGGGGGGATGAACTAGTTGTCAAGTGGGTTGTGGCTGACGTTGACGTTGTTGCAGGGTTTCTCGTGGACGCACGGGCGACAGCTGCGGACCACCCTGCAGTGTGTCGTCGTGCTGACGGAGGAGATGGACGTGGTGCCGTTCCTGCAGGACTGTATCGAGGGCCCCAGGGAGACGTGGGACTACATACTGGTGAGACGCCATGCAACACACCGACAACAGTCGACAGCAGTGTGCTGACTGGGAAAAGAAATACATGTAGAAATAGGTGCAGGATTAAGTGAGGACCAGTATCTGAAACTGAGCAGAAGGGTTCACTGAGGTCAAAACAGCAGAGGTTGTATTTTGCTGTGCGCGGCCCAGTCTCGGCGGCGGAGAGTAACAAGTTGGTTTAGCCTTTATATTGTAGACTTGCACAAGTCTCTAAGGCAATAATTATTAGTTTACATCATAGATTTGTAAATAATAAGAACAAGTTGTCCCTTTAAGAGACTGGAGTCCTTAGACTGTCCACACATCTAGAATTGCCTATTAGGAGGATAGAATTACTGCACATCCATGAACTTTTCATTCATATGGCACAATAGGCTTGTAAGGATAACCGACTCTGGGTATTGTCATGACGACTAGTGCCGGTGGCTCCTTGTGGGGCTTCCGGGTTAGGATTGGTCTGAGTGGATTGGGAGGTCAGTCTCGGTGACTTTTTTCCGCCAGATATGCCGATGGCGTGGGACGTTGTACAAATTTTGTTTTCTGGCCCAGACTCGTTTATATTTACTGGCTGCTGTCATATATGTAGTGCCGGGCTTCTAGTACTTCATGACTTTCGTAAAGTCCTACTAAAATGGCTGTTATTTCAAAATTATACAAAGTTAGAACAGCAATGTGTTTTTACATGTCCAGCGAAAATCTACAACAAATCTTTTTGAACATGCTTTTATCTGCTACGACGGAGAAACGTGTGTAATCGGTGATGTTACAACAGTATTTGTATAAAGGTTGTATATCATCCTTTACACAGTCTCTCATAACTTCCTCAGGAATGGCCCATGTTGTGTAATCTGTCTGTCTGTCTGTCAGTCCCATGCATGTAATGATTGCGCATGCCACTGGTCTGCCTGGTTGAGACTGGATTAGTTACAGGCATAAGACAAAGATGGAATGTCAAACTGCGACTTTAAAAACATTCATTCATTTATTCCAAACAGTGTTGTCCATATGTCTGTGTTCCCCGTTGTGTATGTGTGTCTATGTTCACTGTTGTGTTTGTATTTCTGCGTTTACTGTTGTGTCTGTGTTCACTATTCTGTCTGCATGCCTGTGTTCCCTGTTGTGTATGTGTGTCTATGTTCCCTGTTGTGTCTGTGTTCACTATTCTGTCTGCATGCCTGTGTTCCATGTTGTGTATGTGTGTCTATGTTCACTGTTGTGTTTGTGTGTCTATGTTCCCTGTTGTGTCTGTGTTCACTATTCTGTCTGCATGCCTGTGTTCCATGTTGTGTATGTGTGTCTGTGTTCACTGTTGTGTCTGTGTTCACTATTCTGTCTGCATGCCTGTGTTCCCTGTTGTGTCTGTGTTCACTATTCTGTCTGCATGCCTGTGTTCCCTGTTGTGTCTGTGTTCACTATTCTGTCTGCATGCCTGTGTTCCCTGTTGTGTCTGTGTTCACTATTCTGTCTGCATGCCTGTTTTCCCTGTTGTGTCTGTGTTCACTTTACTGTCTGCATGCCTGTGTTCCCTGTTGCAGGACGGGATGTTGAAGCATGAGAAGACTGGGCTCTGTCTGGAGGTGATGACTGGTCCGAGGCTGACCCTTCAGAAGTGTGACCACAACAATAAGGGTCAGAAGTGGAGGTTTTCACAGCATGACCCCTCTTTCAAAGACCGGGCGAGAGCGGCAGCCAACATCACTCTTAACAAAGAGGTTAAATTGTGAGAGAAAATAATACTCAGTTGTGTCAGGCCATGCATAAGCCAGTGGAGACGTGTGGGCAGCGCTAGGTGTTGTACGTTGTGCTGGGGCGAGCATGGCGCGCACAGACGTGGCCAAGTGCTCCAGTCTCACGTCTAGCAGTACAGTAGCGGACGGAAGTCGGGATCATGGGTTGGACAGTCACACAAGGGGCTGCGTTTTTCGACACAGTCCCTATATAATGGCGTCAAATATTCCACAGGCGCACCGAGAACTGCGGGTCGGGGGCCGAGACGCCATTGTTAGATATCATCGCCGTGTATATACACATCAGAAATCATTTGGCTGTGCCGCGAGTGTTGCGGCCTCAGAGCACCGCCGTGTACCTGGACGTGAGACATTTATGTGGGAACTGCTCATTAAATTATGTGGGGTAAACATTTTTGTTCACCTGGGTTGAAGATGAACACAGTTAATTACTCGAACTTTTCAGACAGAAACCTCCGTGAATACGTCGCATCAAACATATCATGTGACTAGATCACGTGGTTCATGATCAGGTCATGTGAATGTCATGGCGAATGTCATGGTGCTATACACGAAGTGCTTTACTACCCCTGGATTCTAAACGAAGAGACACCTGGAAGTCAATGTATCGTGTTTCTACAACGAGCACCTGGGCAGATGATTCCGACACTAAACTTCATGAAATATTGACATGGCCATGAAGAATCACTGCTAGTATTTCATCCTAACATGTTTGTGATCCGTTTTCGGATATCACTGAGCTCTAATCAGCTTGCCATGAGCAAATGCATTGAACGCCAAACAGCCCTTGTGCCTGTCTAGTTTTGTTGCACATTCAGTACAATGGCTATGCCAGTCCCTCTCTGACGCCATGTCGGGTTCACATCAGGCAGGCCAGTAAATCGCCATTCAAGTCCCAATTCCAGTCTGTTTCTGTTGTGGCCATACAGCCGATGTGTATAGGTCTCCCTGACGTGATGTCGTGATATAGCTGCAATATTGCTGACCATAGGTTGTCGTGATATAGCTGCAATATTGCTGACCATAGGTTGCCGTGATATAGCTGGAATATTGCTGACCATAGGTCGCCGTGATATAGCTGGAATATTGCTGGCCATAGGTCGCCGTGATATAGCTGGAATATTGCTGACCATAGGTTGCCGTGATATAGCTGGAATATTGCTGACTACAGGTTGCCGTGATATAGCTGAAATATAGATGACCATAGGTTGTCGTGATATAGCTGGAATATTGCTGACTACAGGTTGCCGTGATATAGCTGAAATATAGCTGACCATAGGTTGTCGTGATATAGCTGGAATATTGCTGACTACAGGTTGTCGTGATATAGCTGGAATATTGCTGACTACAGGTTGCCGTGATATAGCTGAAATATAGCTGACCATAGGTTGTCGTGATATAGCTGGAATATTGCTGACTACAGGTTACCTCGATAAAGATGATATATTGCTGACAAAAGGTTGCCGTGATATACCTGGAATATTGCTGCCTATAGGTCTCCTTGATACAGCTGTAATATTGCTGACTACAGGTTGCCGTGATATAGATATAGTATTCCTGACTGGCAAGTCCCCTGAAAAGAACTCCCCTCAGATATTTTGCTTAATTCGTGTTAACAACAATATTTCTGGTTTTGGTGTTGTTGAAGCTTCAATGGACGACTGCGTGAACAATGAGGGAATGGGTTCAGTAATCACGGGTCAGGTGTATATGTATATTAATATGTGGGGTATGTTTCTTTGTAACCAGGTTTTACATATATAGGCATCTTATCGAGGCAAAAGAGTTGGGTGGATGGAGTGGGGAATTAACATACTCAACTGCATGTGCCGTCAGATCCTTCTACATTCCTTTTATTGTTTTGGGAGTTTTACTTTTTAAGACATTTCACATTCCCCTTAAAGGTTAATTGGCACTTAGTGTACTCTTAATTTTCACTGAATGCACACTAAATGTACACTGGTACAGATATCTGCAAACAAGCCTGACCTGCTCAGTAATTCAGCGATCTTTGCCGCAATCACAGACCAGTTGTGCAAGGCTACTATGTATTTTTATCACAATGTTTTACGGTCATTTGATTATAGAATTAAGATATATAGATTTATCAGATATACATCGGTTTACATGTTTATAATTATACAATACTTTACATGTGTTTTTTTCGTTTTTGTTGTTTTAACATATGATCATGACTGAAAATAAAACAAAGATTAATAACTTGTTGTTTTATTGTCGTACTCTGAACCATCAAATAAATGTTACCTGAATAGTTTGTACACAAAGGGTGCCATATATCTACTTTGGAATACCTGAATCAATATGGATGAACACGGGCAGACAACTCTGGAATTGTTCTCCTTGGGAATACCCGAATCAATATGGATGAACACGGGCAGACAACTCTGGAATTGTTCTCCTTGGGAATACCTGAATCAATAGGGCAGATAACTCTGACATTGCAAAACCTTCGGCCGACAACGACATCGCTTGATATTGTATTTACGACTAGTTCAATGATTTGCTGCTACTAACAATTAATACAAATTTTTACAAATATATTTACAACAGTTATAACGCCACTAATGTTATTTATCACTATGCTGTTATGGGGCAGCATATTATACGTTGATATTGTTAGTGGCAGCAAATGAAACTGGTGCGGATAGGGTTTTCTTTATCCCCCACTGCAGCTGAAGTCGAGTAAAACTGAGAGTTATCACGATCCCTGGGGTCCTTAAATTATGTGTATCTTTATAATGCGCCAGATGCACAGCTGAAAGTACTCTCAAGGCCTGTGAGGCAGGCACGTCACCATTCACTGCTCTGCTGGGCGAATAGAGACACTTTTCGAACAAAATGAGAAAGGACACACTGCTGAGTCTCAAATACCATCTAAATATACCCCCGAAACCCCACGTACCGTATCGTCACGATATGGCTGAAATACTGTCGATATGACGTTTAATCTTAACTCACTCACTCACTCACTCACTCACTCACTCTGAGTCCTTAAAAACCTTCTAAATATTCCCTCCCCAAGTCCAGCGTACCACACTGTTGAGTCCCGAATACTCTCTAAATGTACCCCCGAAATCCTGCATACCACACTGTTGAGTCCTGAATACACTCTAAATGTACCCCCGAAACACCCGCGTACCACACTGCTGAGTAACGAATAACCTCTAAATGTACCCCCGAAATCCCGCGTACCTCACTGCTGAGTCCCGAATACCCTCTAAATGTACCCCCGAAATCCCGCGTACCTCACTGCTGAGTCCCGAATACCCTCTAAATGTACCCCCGAAATCCCGTGTATCACTGTCTCCCTCTAATTATTGTGGTAAACAGGCAGAAATACATCTAAAACTGCACAACAAGCAAAATATCGAGAATTTTAAGACATACTAGGTCAAATAAGAGATAAGAGAAAATATCAGTTTAGACTTCAAATTCATATTGCACAGTTAACCATTGATTAGCACTAAAATACAAAAAAAAGGAAATATATGATATTGAAATATGTACATACGAAAATAAGACACTTACTAATATAACAACGAGTAAAAACGTAGATAATCGAACACTATCACAGTGACGAAAAGGAATGGAATTTTAAAGTATACTGAACAACAAAATGTCCCGTGACATTGTATAAGATTTAATGCCAAGTTATGTTTTTTACCAAATCTGAAACAATTTCGGTTTGCAACAGATAAAAGACTCCTGTAAGTGTTCAAATGGTTTAGTTTGCCATACTGACTTTAGAAAATCCGTGATTTCATAACACACATGAACATGCCAAAATGTCAATTTACAAATCAATAGCGTGTGTGTCCACCTCTGGTTGCGATGCAAGCGACGCATCTTCGTCTCATTGAATTGACCAGTTCTGTGGGATATCTGTCCATATCAGCTGGAGCATGTTTCGAAGTTCCTGGAGTGTCTGTGGAATACGTGGTTGACGTCGAAGGCGCCGATCCATCTCATCCCACATGTGCTCGATTGGTGAGAGATCAGGGGAGCGAGCCGGCCAGGGGATGACATTCACGTTGTTTTGTTGACGAGAATCCTGAACAAGTCGAGCTATATGAGGCCGGGCGTTGTCATGTTGAAAGGTAATGCCAGGGCCATGACGACGCAAAAACGGTAGAACAACTGGGCCGATGATCTCGTCGCGGTAACGCTGTTTATCGAGATTTCCCTCCACCTCTATCAAACGGGTCTTCTGTCTTGCTGTAATCCCACCCCATACCATAACGCTGCCGCCTCTGAACCGATCATCTTCCATGATACAATGATTGACGTAACGTTCACCTCGACGTCGATACTCGAATCCGTCCATCGTTGTGGCTGAGGTGAAAACGAGACTCGTCAGTGAATAGAACTTGTCCCCAGTGCATGGCCGTCTAGCGTAGACGCTGTCTGCACCACTGTAAACGTGCTTGACGATGGTTTCCTGTCAAAATGGGACGTCTGGTGGGTCTTCTGGCGAAAATCCCTGCACATCTGAGTCGACGACGTACGGTTTGTGAAGATATTCGTCGAAGGCCAGGGATGCTTCTTGCAGTCACTGTTGCTGGCTGGAATCGATTTCGTAGGAGTGTTGTTCGAATCCAGTTGTCTTGTCGATTCCTGCCACTCTGAGGATGGTCTCTGACTGCATTCGTCTGTTGCCAACGTTGCCATAAACACCAAATGGTGTTTCTGTGGACGTTAACTTGTCTTGCAACATCACGTTGACTCGATCCTGCTTCAAGCATACCAATGGGCTCGCAGACGCTCATTTTCGGACAGGCGTGGCATTTCGTAATGTTGAATAATGAATGTGGAATTTTGCTGTTTTTCTGAGTGGTTGTTGTCAGCACGATGCTAAACAATGCATATGGAATCCCGTTAACGCACCTGTTTTCATACCCATTCTTTGGTAGTGAAATGCATGGGGCTTGCATAAAAGTCAACTTTTGCAGGGAATGGATGCTTTTCTGTAGCAGTTGCGTTTTTGTGACTTGATTCCATACATGTACTACAATATTGAAAACCAAACTTTATACACTGTAGATATCGCTGCAATGAAATTACATCACAATGCTTTGCAGACCATTGTGACGTCACTGGCTACCATGACGTCACAATCAAATGACATCACTAATGGCTCTGCTACTGAAGCTGTTTTCAGTACTTTTTACACTAAAGATACTGCTAATTACTGTCCACAAATTGAAAAAGTTGAAAGAATGATGTTGGATGATAAATAAAATCTCACCCTCGTGTCTTTTGATATCAAATATATCAACACTCGTTGATAAAAGTGTCAAAAATCCTCGGCAAGCCTCGGAATTTTTCCACTTTTATCAACTCGTGTTGATATATTTGATATCAAAAGACACTCGGGTGAGATTCTCTATATATCACAGCAAGAGTTAACTTTAATAAAAGCGATAATGACAGGCTAAGATTTGTGTACAGCGAACTGATAAAATGTATCAATCACATAAACATTTAAAAGACTAATATTTGCTGGTATGACTTATTTCCGGGCCCTGTTTGTTTTCAGCATCGGCATGCGCAGTCGGCGGCCAGAAGGTTGAAACTGATATTCGGAATGAAGAAAATGACTGCTGTCATTTTATTACGCACGTTTTTGACAACTTGCTGCTCATACATATCGCCCATGTGTTGAAATTGTGTAAGTGAGAGTTTGCTTAGGGTTTTTAAATTTTATGAAATTTAGATTTATTGGAAAAGACTTGCTCCCATACCAGCAGTTAAAATTAAAAGCTAAAATGCTTTGAAAACAGGTTCTATAAAACTGAGAGAATATTGCATTATCAAATTAAAAATACCTAAGACGCCGAAAGAAATACAATTGCTTTTGGCACTTTTTATATGAATATGCTCCGTGTCAGCATTCCAAGTGAGTTTCGAATCAATAATGGCACCAAGATACTTATATTGTTCAACCATGTCAATATTTTCGTATTCATTAACCACTGGCAGAATGTCAGTCTGCTTTTTTCTGAGATCTAAAATCCCTTTGTCATTTTAACATTCAGAGAAAGATAATTACCCTTGCAGTATTTGACACATTTTGAAATTTGGTAGCGATAATCAATTTCAGACCGCTTTATAATTCCGGCCAGCGCTGGGTCACCTGCAAACTTCACGGTTAAACGAGTGTTTAAATTACTGATACAGTCATTTGTGCAGGAAACAAATAAAACAGGAGAGAGCACACATCATTGAGGGGCACCCGTAGGTGTAAAGGTCACAGATGATTTGATGCCATTTACAGTCACTGGCTGTGGTTTGTTTACAAGAAAAGATTCTATCCATTTAATAATTGTTGAATTACAAGACATCCAATTTATGTTTGTGCATAATCAATTGAGGCTGTATGGTAGTAAAAGCAGGGGAGAAGTCAGCAATCAACATTCGTACAAATGAATTCATTTGGAAGTTTCAAAATATTTACATATAAATATATATATATATATTTCACGCCATTCTTTTAACACCAGCCCACATATATTGTCAGGACCTTTAGCTTTGCAGACTGTAGTGTCAACGCGAGCGTTGAACACATTCAACTGTTGGCAAAGTTCAAGTTACAAGTTATATGCAACACTTATTTCTGCTCGTTTCTTATCTGTGTCAATCACTGTCTTAACGCCCTTCCAAGCCCGTCGAGGATCACAATCAGGAAACGGTCTTTCTTTTTTTGACGTGTATTGTTTACATTTTTCCGTGGCACATGATATTTCTTTCTGAACAGTTGCAACCTTCAACTTGTCCCCAGCACAAACAGCCCTTTCCTTTTCATTTAGTACTTTTGTTATCCACGTCTTATTGTTCAGAAAGATCTTGACAGTTTGAAGGCACAAAACAGTCAACTCTAAAGTTATGTAATGAGTGACAACATCAATCAGTTCCACAAGGTCTGTGCTCCAATTCACGAATACGTCCCAAGCAAGGCACCCTTTCATTGATAAAGAGAATGTAGTGTCAGAGATTTCACCGATCTTAATGTTGGTTTGGCGGATTTTAACTTTTGCGTGTAGGAAGGCGCTAAATAGACTGTATTTGGATCAGATGTTTCCGGCGGAGCTTTAGCCTAAGATTTGAAAGCGTCCTTGACATTGCCATAACAGCGTCCTTGACATTGCCATAACAGGTCAGTCGTCCTACCTTTCCGTGCCGGTCTTGTTACATACTGACTGTAAGCAGGCAATGTGTTCTTGAGACTGCAGTCATTACAATCCCCAAGAATACATTTTGGTTCATTAACAGCATGGTCACCAAGTTAATCCCCATGTTATGAATGTTTATAAATGACGTCAGCAGCCCTGTTGTTGTTAACGTCAGGAGGCACAACACAACACTGAAACAGAGAGTAGCTCCACCTCTTCGGTACACACCATGTCCCTCGCTATAAATGCTTACACCACCTTGTGTAAACAAACACCACCTCCGATAGGTTTTCCTGTTATGTTGACGTCTGCATCAGTAGTGAATGGCGTTCCGAAACCATCAATTTCGAGGCTAGAGTTCTCTATGGCGGCGTTTAACCAAGTTTCATTGAAACAAAGTAGGCAGCTTTCTCGGAATTCAGACATGAACTTCACACAGGCTTCCAGTTCGTGACGTTGACGCCTTATAAGAGAACGCGCATTTGTCATCAAAATAGTAGGTAATGGAGGTCTGGTTTTGCGTGATCTTATTCTTCACATCTGAGTACACATCTCTTACCTCGTTTACAGGCTCAAGTCTGCCCTGTCGTCCTGTGTACACTCCGGGGGTAGTTCCATACGTAAGTCAGTGACATTAGTGAATCCACGGAGCTGTGGTAGCGGTTCCCTTCCGTAGCGTATGGCGGTAAAGTAACGGTCCAGTTTTGTGTTGTGACAGTTTCTAAAAGGCTAGCTGTACCTTTATGAGAGCGAGACCCATGTCTGGCTTCACACTTGCGTTTCCACTTGGGAATGTTTGCGTAACAATAGAAAGTTATTGAGAATGTCCGATTTATTGCCATCCAGAGACATTATTATGATGCTTCAGACAGAAAGTAATCAAAATGTAAATCGTTACTGTTCAGATGGGGTATTGGTTCTCTTTGGGAAAGCCAGTGGATTGTCATCCTCAAGCGTTTTTTTCAGAATTTATGTCGTGTCTGAATATTTAGTCATGAACAGGATTGGTATTCTGGAAAAGGATAGTGAATCTTTATCTTGTCCTGTATTCAAGGTATCGTTTGGTACGGAGCTGTACCTTAGCTGTGTGAACGTCAATACTTTTAGAATGGTTGACATGGGTTCTTTTTCATTAGCTATGCGTTGAAATTAAGAGATACGCTAATATCCCAGAAGATAATATTGTGTTTGAAATGCTGGGTATGTAAAGGACGAATATCACTTTTTGTCTGGTCGTAACAAGCTGCGGGTGGATTACTTACCAAAGAAATATTATGAATATGCAACCAAACAAAAATGTAATCATATCATTATGTCTGCAACTGATCTATCTATCTATATTTATCGAGCGATGTCACATCGAAGTACATTATTGTCAGAACAATTAGATCTGAGGACATCAGGTCCATTGTAAAACAAATATAACCATGGGCCGATGGCCTTCACTTACGAGTGCGTGAGTGAGTATGGTTTTACGCCGCTTTTAGCAATATTTCAGCAAAATCACGACGGGGGACACCAGAAATGGGCTTCACACATTGTACCCATGTGGGGAATCGAACCCAGGTCTTCGGTGTGACACTTTGGAACAAAACTGAATCGAACACTAGAATACTGTGCTAATACTAGAATCGAGTTGGGATGTTCCTCTTTACATCCTTGTGGAACAGACGCATCAGTTTCTGTTTTAAACAGTGTTATTTAGAGTTCTATATCTGTAGTTGTTGACACAGTCCACACTGATAACGTCACAATCAGTCAACTCTCACTGGCGATAGCTCCAGGTCTCGGCGGTGATAGCTCTGCAACATGATGCAGATGTCGGCCATTGACGGGCTGTTCATGTAACGCTGCTCCAAAATGAAGAAAGCGATATATGGGTCATGTATAATAAAAAAAATCACTGGCCGCCAAAATAGTGATATATCCCCGAGAAAGTACCCCACACAGTGTCACACTGGTAGTGTCCCTGTGGATGACTCACCGAAACAAGGAGATTAATCTGCTCTATGCTGGCTAATTGTCCATAGTCCATGTTATTTTGAGTCATATGTATGAATTAATAATGCGGGTGTTTATTAGATTCCTACCCACGATAACAGGATACTGGCCCGCCTAAGGGACGCAACACTGCACAGCGTATTGAACGTGTCCCAACAAGGTGACTATTAACGAGACTTATTATGCATGAAATGTTCCATTCGGTTACCCGTCACTTATAAGAAACCGCAAACCGGCAACACAGCTAAATCCTACAATGACCAGCATCAGTTTGATTAAGTGTCGTTTTCCGGACAGATCAGCCTGCAGACACTCGAAAAACGTGACAAACATGAAGGTCCCAGTAGCCAGCGACTGGAGGAACCCCGCGGCATATGCTTGACCCTCAGTACTCAATCTGCTCTCCGTTAGGGCGGTACCCACGCCGGCCCCAAGGGGCGCTACAGTAGAGAAGAAGATGAGATAAAACAAAGCTGAGCGGGGGTTTTTGGTGTGGGACTCAACAAAACTTAGACCGAGGCTGAACGCGACCAGAGCTTTGTGGAAGCTCATGGCCACCAGCAATGTCCACATTAAGTTAGTACTCGTCTGTATACCTATCACAAAGCCATCGAACACGGTGTGTAGAGACAATGCTATGAACAGAACAAACGACCGGAAGCCGCTCATGTCGACCGGCTGTGGTTGACCGGAAGTAGTGTCCTGCACCGTCACCTTGATATCAGCGACCCCGCTGTCCTCTACGGGATCCGTGTTCGTCACGTTCACATCGTCACTGGAGTTGTTCAAGTCTCTGTTGATATCGCGTGACGTCAGACAGCTCTCGGTGCTGCCGTCCGATTCCCCTACAGATCCGTAGCGAATGTATTGAGGAATACTGGAATCTCTTTTGGTGATTTCCTGGGCATGTGAATTCTTACTGTAATTGACTGTGAGTGTGGTGTTGGATTCCACGGAGGACTCTTTACACATTTTCAGAAGGTTCTCCGTCACGTACATAACCAGGAACCCGATTCCAACACACGCCTCGGTCACAGGGTACGTCACGTCCGGGAAGGCACGTGTCATGGCTCCACGTGCCCCGGGAAGGAGATGCACAAGACAAGTGGCTAGGAATATTCCCCCGGCGAAACTCTGCAGTAAAAGTATGTTGTCGCTTGCAAACGTTTTCTTCTGTAAGAGCTTGCGAAGCAAGACGTAGGGCAGGACTGCACCGAGGAAGGTGACGAGGAATATGACACCTATTGATATAATCTTCACATACAAAGTTTCCATGGTGTACGTGTAACGTCAGCGTAAAGTCCGTCTAGACACAGGACTCCTCCCTGCTTTGGGTGGCGTCTACTAGGGATTGTTCAGGCCACAGGTTGTCCAGAATCCAAGTGTGGTACCTTCCACCAACTCGCGTCAATGTCCACCGATCAGGTGCAGCTGTTTGATGTGATGGTGTCAGTGTGCCGCCCCCTCCGTATCCACGTCACGTGATGCAGTATCTCCCTTATCACTGAAGCCTGTCTGTCCCACTCTCATCATCACACCCTGAATGTGTCACTATGAACGTGACACGTACACTTAAGATAACACAGATATCGATTATCTCAATTACGTTAGTTTGTTGTTCAGTCTTGTGTTATGGATATTGCACTGTTGGGAAATGCCTGATTACGGGTTGTCTCCCTTCCAAGGCGTGTTGTCGGCATGTTTTCCTCTGGCAGATTTAATATTTCAAAACTAAATGAAAATACAAACCTCAACATTCCAATGCGACGCCGTTCTGCACAGTGGTCTGTGACGTCACGTGCTGGGTCACTTGTGTCCGCGTTAGCACTAAGTCCAACAGGCCAATTCCGCACAGTAAGACTTTGGGTCCAGGGCCCCGTTCCACAAAGCGATCGCAGCGCTACGACTGTCGTAAGCCTATGTTGAAGAATGGAAGTTTCGATCATCTTAGCACTACGATCGCCTTGAGGCAGAGTGTGTTCCTGTGTTCATAAGTAGCTTACTGCAGCCTTTTAAGTTGGTTTAGTTTAACGCTGCACTTGAAAGTGTATCAACTGTTATTATTTGCCATCACGTCAGTTTGATGTGTGGGGAGCTAATTAGAATATTTAGTTTGGCATTAGTATTTGATTGGAATCCGAATTATCCGCCAACACGAAATGGACAGAAACACAACTCACATTACAATATCTATATAGAGTTTCAAACATCATGACATGCATTGAACATAAGAAAGTAGAAGATGGCTTATTAAAAACTGAAATAGCTCAATCCCAATCGATTTTATGCATATTAAATATCATGTACAAAAAAACATACTCCATATTTCGTTTTTTTACAAGATGTACATTGAAAGTATACAAAGTCTTTAAAATCTAATCTAATCAGAACCGCTAGCAATGTTGCAGGGTAGTCAGTACTTTCAATCCGTCACCAAATATGTATATTCTAGTATTGTTTTATATTATTGATAATTCTACTGAGGCTACAGCGACACTTGGGAACCTCGGAGTGATAAAGCACTTACGCATCTTCCATCATGCACATCCCATTCGCAGTAAACCCAATGTCAGCTTTCAACCACGGACCTAGCGGAACCTGGGGCGCACTGCTGAAAAATCGATATGATTGGTTGCAGATTTGGACCACGTGACCATCATGTGACATGCCCAGTGCTGACTTCCAGGACACGAGATAGGAGCACGATGCCGGCCAGATATAATTACTGGTCTGAAAGGTATTTCTTGGCTTTCATCATCCCCTGTAATTACAGAATGTGTAGGAATCAGACAACTATGGCTGGCGTGCTCAGGCTGAGGGTTAGATCCCCACTTGTAGCACAGGCCTAGTTATTGTTGTTTGCCAATCCGGTGGCTTCCTGGTAGTCTGGTTATCGATCTAAGTCCATTTACAGATCTGTTGGAATTCACTCGCCCCTCTATACCACTAGCTCCCCCAGACACCGTCAACACCTAGGTAAGACGTACTGTAGTTGTGTCGTCATTCAACGTTCTACCACCATGATTCATTGTATATTGTAATGAACTAGCTGTTGTATCATCGATATCTTGCCGCATGGCGGTCTCCTGTTTGACGGCCGTGTTACCAGTGACTATATAGTACCAGCCGCCACACGGAGCAGTGATGTGAGTCATATTACAGTTTCAGGATGATTACAATCACATTGTCACAACACCATCCATGTCGTCTTCTCTTATATATTTGTTGCTACCTGTGTCGTATTCTTGTGCTCCATATAGATTGATTGAAAGGATGCACACATGGATTCGCCAAGGTTCGTCTTCAGTGTCAAGTCACGAGGGACGTGCTTGATATTCGTATTACACCACAGTGCAATGTCTTATAATGACATACGAGGGGAACTATACACACACCACACGCACCATCTCAACAGGTGCCGTTGGTAGCGTATTGCAAGCATTCATTATTTTGATCAGTTTACGGGTTTTCGCACCTTTGCATGCGGAATGCTCTCAGCATGTACCAAATACCAAAGTCTCAAATCATGCATGCTTCAGTTTTTACGGAATGTCTTTTCCCCCTAAGTAATAACTAATTAGATATCATTCTAATGGCAAAACGATACTTTGTATATACAATGTGCTGAAAACATATGGAAACAGAATAAGGCGTTCAAAAATTATATTTTTCCTACGCTGTTGTATTTCTTTACAATGTGCATATATTTGCATTCAACCCTTTCTACAATAATCGATTACGTTGACGACTGAGGATACCTAGCAGCAGATGAGACGCGGACGTGGCCGCGGGGTGAGTCATACCGTGCGTGTGTCACACTAGACAGCAGATTCCGTGCAGGGCGCACATACAGGTCGTGCTCGGAGAACCGACCATGATACGCTGCACTTAAACACACACAGACATGTATCCCAGGCCACACACTAAGACAAACAAGCATTTCTCCCTGGTCTTACACTGAAACACAGATATGTCTCCCAGATCTTACACTATCACACAGACATGTCTTCCTGGTCCTACACAAACACATACATGTCTCCCTGGTCCTACACAAACACATACATGTCTCCCTGGTCCTACACAAACACATACAGACATTTCTCCCTGTCCCACACTTACCCACACAGACATGTATTCCTGGTCCCACACTTGCCAACACAGACATGTCTTCCTGCTCCTACACTAACACACACAGACATGTCTTCCTGCTCCATCACTGACACACACAAACATGTCTTACTGCTCCTACACTAACACACACGGACATGTCTTACTGCTCCTACACTAACACACACGGACATGTCTTACTGCTCCTACACTAACACACACGGACATGTCTTACTGCTTCATCACTGACACACACAGACATGTCTTGCTGCTCCCACACTGACACACACAAACATGTCTTCCTGCTCCTACACTAACACACACAGACATGTCTTACTGCTCCTACACTAACACACACGGACATGTCTTACTGCTCCCACACTAACACACACAGACATGTCTTCCTGCTCCTACACTAACACACACAGACATGTCTTACTGCTCCTACACTAACACACACAGACATGTCTTCCTGCTCCTACACTAACACACACAGACATGTCTTACTGCTCCTACACTAACACACACGGACATGTCTTACTACTCCTACACTAACACACACGGACATGTCTTACTGCTCCTACACCAACACAGACGGACATGTCTTACTGCTCCTACACTAACACACACAGACATGTCTTACTGCTCCTACACTAACACACACGGACATGTCTTCCTGCTCCCACACTAACACACACGGACATGTCTTACTGCTCCTACACTAACACACCATGACATGTCTCCCTGGTCCTACACCAACACAGACGGACATGTCTTACTGCTCCTACACTAACACACACGGACATGTCTTCCTGCTCCCACACTAACACACACGGACATGTCTTACTGCTCCTACACTAACACACACGGACATGTCTCCCTGCTCCCACACTGACACACACGGACATGTCTTACTGCTCCTACACTAACACACACGGACATGTCTTACTGCTCCTACACTAACACACACGGACATGTCTTCCTGCTCCCACACTGACACACACGGACATGTCTTACTGCTCCTACACTAACACACACGGACATGTCTTACTGCTCCTACACTAACACACACGGACATGTCTTCCTGCTCCCACACTAACACACACGGACATGTCTTACTGCTTCATCACTGACACACACAGACATGTCTTACTGTTCCTACACTAACACACACGGACATGTCTTACTGCTTCATCACTGACACACACAGACATGTCTTACTGCTCCTACACTAACACACACGGACATGTCTTACTGCTCCTACACTAACACACACGGACATGTCTTACTGCTCCTACACTAACACACACAGACATGTCTTACTGCTCCTACACTAACACACACAGACATGTGTCCCTGTTCCACACTAACACACACGGACATGTCTTACTGCTTCATCACTGACACACACAGACATGTCTTACTGCTCCTACACTAACACACACGGACATGTCTCCCTGGTCCTACACCAACACAGACGGACATGTCTTACTGCTCCTACACTAACACACACGGACATGTCTTCCTGCTCCCACACTAACACACACGGACATGTCTTACTGCTTCATCACTGACACACACAGACATGTCTTACTGCTCCTACACTAACACACACGGACATGTCTTACTGCTCCTACACTAACACACACGGACATGTCTTACTGCTTCATCACTGACACACACAGACATGTCTTACTGCTCCTACACTAACACACACGGACATGTCTTACTGCTCCTACACTAACACACACGGACATGTCTTACTGCTCCTACACTAACACACACAGACATGTCTTACTGCTCCTACACTAACACACACAGACATGTGTCCCTGTTCCACACTAACACACACGGACATGTCTTACTGCTTCATCACTGACACACACAGACATGTCTTACTGCTCCTACACTAACACACACAGACATGTGTCCCTGTTCCACACTAACACACACGGACATGTCTTACTGCTTCATCACTGACACACACGGACATGTCTTACTGCTCCTACACTAACACACACAGACATGTGTCCCTGTTCCACACTAACACACACGGACATGTCTCCCTGCTCCTACACTAACACACACGGACATGTCTTACTGCTTCATCACTGACACACACAGACATGTCTTACTGCTCCTACACTAACACACATAGACATGTGTCCCTGTTCCACACTAACACACACGGACATGTCTCCCTGCTCCTACACTAACACACACGGACATGTCTTACTGCTTCATCACTGACACACACAGACATGTCTTACTGCTCCTACACTAACACACACGGACATGTCTTACTGCTTCATCACTGACACACACAGACATGTCTTACTGCTCCTACACTAACACACACGGACATGTCTTACTGCTCCTACACTAACACACACGGACATGTCTTACTGCTCCTACACTAACACACACAGACATGTCTTACTGCTCCTACACTAACACACACAGACATGTGTCCCTGTTCCACACTAACACACACGGACATGTCTTACTGCTTCATCACTGACACACACAGACATGTCTTACTGCTCCTACACTAACACACACAGACATGTGTCCCTGTTCCACACTAACACACACGGACATGTCTTACTGCTTCATCACTGACACACACAGACATGTCTTACTGCTCCTACACTAACACACACGGACATGTCTTACTGCTCCTACACTAACACACACGGACATGTCTTACTGCTCCTACACTAACACACACAGACATGTCTTACTGCTCCTACACTAACACACACGGACATGTCTTACTGCTTCATCACTGACACACACAGACATGTCTTACTGCTCCTACACTAACACACACGGACATGTCTTACTGCTCCTACACTAACACACACAGACATGTCTTACTGCTCCTACACTAACACACACGGACATGTCTTACTGCTTCATCACTGACACACACAGACATGTCTTACTGCTCCTACACTAACACACACAGACATGTGTCCCTGTTCCACACTAACACACACGGACATGTCTTACTGCTCCTACACTAACACACACGGACATGTCTTACTGCTTCATCACTGACACACACAGACATGTCTTACTGCTCCTACACTAACACACACAGACATGTGTCCCTGTTCCACACTAACACACACGGACATGTCTCCCTGCTCCTACACTAACACACACGGACATGTCTTACTGCTTCATCACTGACACACACAGACATGTCTTACTGCTCCTACACTAACACACACAGACATGTGTCCCTGTTCCACACTGACACACACAGACATGTCTTACTGCTCCTACACTAACACACACGGACATGTCTTACTGCTCCTACACTAACACACACGGACATGTCTTACTGCTCCTACACTAACACACACAGACATGTCTTACTGTTCCTACACTAACACACACAGACATGTGTCCCTGTTCCACACTAACACACACGGACATGTCTTACTGCTTCATCACTGACACACACAGACATGTCTTCCTGGTCCTACACTAACACACACGGACATGTCTCCCTGCTCCTACACTAACACACACGGACATGTCTTACTGCTCCTACACTAACACACACGGACATGTCTCCCTGCTCCTACACTAACACACACGGACATGTCTTACTGCTCCCACACTGACACACACAGACATGTCTCCCTGCTCCTACACTAACACACACAGACATGTCTTACTGCTCCTACACTAACACACACGGACATGTCTTACTGCTTCATCACTGACACACACAGACATGTCTTACTGCTCCTACACTAACACACACGGACATGTCTTACTGCTCCTACACTAACACACACGGACATGTCTTACTGCTCCTACACTAACACACACAGACATGTCTTACTGCTCCT